TGTATTTACCATTCTACTTTCCTTCGCCAACGTCATGGTCAACACAACAGAAACAGCAATTAAACAATGGAGGCGCTGCCACCGCTCGTGAGTAAAGTATTGTCTTGGAGTCCAACAAACTTTATACGCGCTTCGGTGGAACTACAATGACGTCATTTACGGGCCCTCAGCGCAATATGTTACTCTGCTGCGGGTGCCGTTTTTAGAGCAGCCAAGTGCAAAGTTAGTGTATTTGGAGTGCGGGAAGTTAACACGCAGCACACCGCGAGGAGAGCTCCGGAAGCTGTAGCCTAAGACATCCATTAGTTGTTGCTGTAATCAAGTAAACTATAACGAATATATATCCTTTACACACTAACAGATTTGTACTGGGGAACGCCGTACAGCTCCGCCAAAGCTTCCTACTGTATTGCTCTTTACATCTGTGGTGCAGTCAGTAAGGGTTTATATTTAATGCTGAAGCCTCGCCCTCCGCTAGAGGGCACTGGGGTGCCAGTACTGTTTTGTTGCATTGCAAAAAAAACCTTGATATTTTTCGAGTTGTCACACGCCATGCAGTGTGATGTATTATGTGTCTGTTAATATATTTTAAATGCATACAACACGAATTTGTGTTGTCAGATAAAAAAAAACGTATATTGTTTTCTTGTTTAAGTGTGAGTAGTATATATTGAAGCATTTTCCAGCCTTAAAAATCCATTACAAACTGCAGCTTAATTCCCCTGAACTTAATCTGACTCTCATTTATACTGACACTCAGTATGTTTTGGGGGAGCTGTAAAATATAGAGTCAGCGGCCCGGAACGAGGACCGCTTTTCATGTAATCGGGAGGTGCATTAGTGTCTGCCAAATGGACATAATCGTTTGCCCGTTTGTTTTAGCAGATTGGAACAGTTTTTCATCTGGTAGGCAGTGAGCAGGGCTGCCTTATGAGACTAAGCGCCCCGGCTGTGATCAGATTACGGACAGGCAAAGTCCAACGTGGGGTCGCTCGCTGGTGGAGCGGTGCTGGGAAAAAAACTGGTGTATCATGCTTTTTCAATTGTGCTGTAAACCAGATCTTAACAGCACAAACATTCACATGTGGACTAAACCTGCAATTAGTTCTCGTTAAGAAACAACACGAGCCAGTAATTGAGTGGGTAATGAACTGCACACAAACATTTTAAAATCTCAGTACGTTTATGGTAATTCTGGGCTCATAGGAGTGCCATAAAAAGAATAAATCTGTAAAAGAATAAGGAAATAAATGTTGAATAAGAAATCAAATTATGAGGAAAAGATATTAAAAATATAAGAATAATCAAATTAATGCTCTTATCGCTTTTAATTTCAACGGATTGCTTTTAATTTCAGCGTATTGCTTTTTAATTTTCCCGTATTGCTTTTGTTTTGCCATATGGCTTTTAATTTTGCGGTACTACTTTTAATAAAGGGGGACAAGCTGTCAATCAACTAGCTTTAGTAACGCCTTCCTGCCCAGACTGAGTTGTCCTTTCCATCACACGTGAATTCTGCTTTCAACTTCTTTTCCACTGCCACTGATGTCATCACCGTCAGCAGGGATAGGGAATGGCAGGGGGGTTAGGTCGCGTCCCATCATCGAGTAACCCGTTTTGTGCAAATCAAAAATGGAAAAAGTGGATAACAAGGCCTCACATTCTATTTTGTTGTTTTTTTCATCTGACATATAATGTGTAACCAGTAGGGGTGTAAATCACAGCTTTCCTCGCGATATGATACAGTATCGATTCCTTAAGCCAACGATTCGATTTTTTTTGATACCTCAGAAATTCCCACGATATGATGCGATGCGATATGATACGAATCAATTCATTTCGATACTGGGGATAATGATGAAATTTCACACAATCCTTTACATTTCAATGGATTAAAAAAGGCAAATATAATTAGCATTTTATCATATTTTATTGGGAACTGTAAACAAAATCTAGTCAAGTATGTCCCATAAATCAAGCAAAATAAAGTGCAATACACTCAAAAAATTTATGTAATGTAATTGCATATAAAATTTCCATGCATTTGGATTACATAGTTTTAAAGAAAGCAAATTAATAAATTTAATGTAATGTGTATTCATCAGTTTAACATAAATGAAACAATTACGAATAAGATTTATGTAATTGTGTTAATATGTCCAATGTTTTTTAAATAGATAACTAAGCTTATGCATTTACAATACATACAATTTGTTTTAAATTCACATGAACCAGATTTATGTATACATTTTTAATAAAGATCATATAAAACTCATTAATAAATCCAAAATGTTTAAAATGCCTAATAAATTTATACAACTCTCCCAATGCATCAAATGTAAAAAGACAACTGTTTCACATTTTAACAATTTATTGATACCGAAATGCATGTAAAACTACATTAAAAAACAGACTTAGTAACACTGTTAAACACTGTTCAGTCTGATTATGGAAAAATTCTGTGTAAATGAGCAGCCGTGACAAAAACCATGACACGTTTCTCCCTTTTTCTATGACAAAAAAATAAAGAAACAGAACTAAGCAATGATAAGTCAAATATCAATAAAATACTGTTATTTATTTTGTTAAACTGGAGGTAGATAAACCTAATAAACAAAGAATGGAACTCTAATGCAGCATATCTACATTAAAGACATCCTGATATCCATTTTTTTTCAGAACACCACAATCAAAAAACATAGAACATAAACATTGCATTAACATTAATGACATTGTATCATCACACTTTTACAGGATAGTACAGGAAAGTAACATGGGTAAATTCTACCTAGACAATGTTTAGTTATGTGTCCAAGAACTGAATCAATTTCATTTTCAATGCTTGAACCTTTGGTGAAAGCTTGGTTGGTTCCAGCTCCATGAAAATTTTTTGATACACTTCAAATGTGCACTTCAGGTCTTTGGGATAGTTTAGGTTTAATGAATAAATCAGTCCAAAAAGCATCATACTTCCCAAGGTGACACTATGAAGGTTTTGCAGTACATCCACACCTTCAAGAACTATGCCAACATTTGTTGCTTTTTCTCCATGACCAGCACCCTCTCCACGAATGATGTAGATGCCCATTGTTGTTCCTGCAATTCCTGACACAGCCTCTGCACATTCACAGTCCTAGAGCAAAAGTAAAAAACAATGAGCGGTGTTGACGTGCAAGGCACACTGTTTTGCAAACGCTGATATTTCAGATACATAGAATTGAAATGCAAACAATATTATATGTAAACAAATAAATGATTTGCACAAACAAAACAGAGACACAATTAAACTGAACAGCCATTTCTATTTAACCAAAAATGCCAATCGAGTTCACATGCACGTGGATAGTTCAAAAATATATTTTGTCGATCTCAACTCACCCCTGATGCCTACTAAGGTGCCACCAGTAAGGGGAATTTTGCCCACAATTAGTTAATACTTTGGTAAATTATGAAACAAGACATAAAACAATGGACAGTGCTATTTTAGATTTAACCCTTTGAAGTCATTGAAAAATTTCACACTAATTTTGGTACTGGAACATCCTACACAAAAAATTAAGCTGTAAAGTCATTTTATCACTCAGAAACAAGTGCTTTATATAATTTTCTTCAGGAGAACTTCAGCGTTCTTTCATTTTAAATAATTAGGAGGCATCTTCTTGGTGTGGCATCCTATGATTTAGTAAAAATCTTTGATCCTTACCATGTATTCTTTGACAATTGTATCCATGTCTTCATTGAGGTAGACACTCTTCAAGATACAGTCACGTTTGAGATTTATATCTTCATTCTAACACAGACATGCCAAAAACATACACTCTAGTCAGTTAAGTAATGCTGAATTAAAATGTATAAAGCAGTAATAACTTGTCTCTAGATACCAGGCAAATGTTGGAAATGTTTGTAACCACATTATCCTGTGCTCCTTGAGATTACTGTAAGTCTACAAATCTAACTTTTACTAAAATGATGAGAAAGAGAAAAAGTCATAGGAATTCAATCAGCTTGCTACTTGACACCTTAAATAAATAATAAATTCAAACATACTTACTATAGCTGTCAATGCCATTATTGAGTGGATTTTCTGTCCTGCAGATTCTCCTTTGGCATGAAAAACCTTTAACAGGCTGTTAGTATATTTATCCAACTGCCCAAAGAATTTGGAAATTAAGAGAACAGTTGTTATACACATGAACTCCATGTTGATCTACAGGAGAAAAGACATACTTTAATTTAAACATTACGTTTAACACTGAACATAATTAACTAAACTGGACGGCACATTTGTGTAAGTGTTAGCACTCATGCCACTCATTGCAGTTGCTGGATGAAATCCCATCTGGGTAGAATTTCNTGTTTCTTTAGTTAACATAAATAGTACTTAAAATGTATCACGACAGTTCTACTAAAACACATAATTTTGTTTTGACAAACACTAATGCTATAAATAGGTATAACATTACCGACAATTTGCACTGTTTTCTCTGCTAGTGCTTCCTGTTGATCCTCAGCCTCCAGCTGGAGAACAGCAGGTTCTGTCACCTTTCCATGGAAGAGGGAGTGATTCTTGCGAATCCAGCACACTGCACTGCAGAGGTCCCTCATGATGCACGACTCCTATGACACTGGAAGTGAATATCAGGGATTGAATAAGTTAATCAGGTGCAGCTGGTAGTCAACAGGAAAACCACCCGAGAAAAATGAGGGACACACACACCACTATTACACTTTGTACAGCAGTCAGTCACAGCTTGCCCACCAGGTCTGAGAACAGCAGGAGTGCTCACCCTCGAGAGAGGCTCCAAGTTCGCTTTCAGCAGGTGTGAAGCTTCCTCAGTCCAAAAGGCAAACCTCTGTCCATGTCTGAGTAGTACCTTAACTTACATTGAGATATTGAAACATTAAGTCTTGGTAGTGTATCATCAATGGTGTCATTAATACTCGTATATGCAAAACCTCTCCATTAGGTGAATGCACTACCACTGATGAATTAATGGAATATCACCCTAAAAATAACAAAAATATAATTTTCAGCCTCCCTGCTGAGCTTCACCCGGTATTCTATATCTGACAGAAACCTCCTTCTTTGCAAAGAAAGTGCACTTGATTTTGCATCTGAATGCATCTCAATGTAAAACACAATGCTTTACATACATACTTTTCCAGACCACCATTTCCTTATTTTTGGAATGTCAGACTGATTATAAAAAGACAAAAAAACATGCATTCTGAATGTTTGAAAGGACACATTTCTTCATATAGATAACTATGCAACATTCTACAGCGTTGAAGAATTTCTACAGATGACATACCTTGGAATGAAATTCTGTTCTTTGCGTGTGAATCTACATGCATTGGGCTCGTAGTAACGTTGTTGGTTTAAACTAGGGATGAGACATGATTTTCGAATACTCGAATATTCGATATACGTTCGAATATCGAATAGTTATTTCGAATACCGTTATCTCACTTAAGGGACTCCGAAAAAAAACACGGAACAGAAATGAGGACGTTTCCTCACCAATACGTCATGTAACGCATTAATTCAGCCTGAGGGTGTCGCTAACAGTAAAGCTCCCTACAGGCACGGGAGACTAGGTCTACTAGCCCATAGGCTACTCCAGAAGAAGAAAGCTGAATTTTACCATGCGGCGTGAATAATGCAGAGACCTAAGGCTAGTAAAAGTTCCGTATGGGACTCGTTTACGTTAAATGGCAATGAGGTTATGAGTGCTTGTTTAAACGTGTTATATATTGTTGCCGACAGTTCAGGCCGTTTCACCGGATTTAGCCTTATTGGCTAGGCAGTTCTAAATGTGGTTAGTGATGCATTTTTAAAATTGAGATAATCTAAAATATAGTTTAATGGGTGAGTTGCTCTT